AAAAAAGGGAGGGAGGAAAGGGAAGAAGGGAGGAAGGAAGGGAGGGAGGGAGGAAGGAAGGATGGAAGGAGGGAAGGGAGGGAGGGAAGGATAAATTACAATACAAGGTATTAGTGGCCAAGGCCCAAATGAGTGGAAGTGTCCTAGGTGTTCCAAAAAATCATGAGCTCACTGGAATCCTAGCAGGAGCAAGTCTTGACAATATGATTAGGATTAACTGCAGCAAGAAAACTTTATAAAGATGGAAATAGAAGAGAACCAGAAGGGAATAGCCAGCAAATAAATGATCATTATTATTTTGTTCAAGTTCATATCCTATTATTTTAGTTGAACATTTTAAAATTCCAATTTCCTGGTTCTGCATGCCACAGTGCATAAAGCGTAGAGTTAGGAAGACTTATCTTCCTGGATTCAAATCTGCCCTCAGACACTTACTAGCTGTGTGACACTGGGCAGGTCACTTAACCCTGTTTGCCTCAGTTTCCTCATCTGTAAAATGAAGGGTAGATCCAGATGACATCTAAGGTCCCTTATAACTCTTAATCTATGTTCCTGTGAATGCATATGGTATATTTGGCGTGAAATGAGTAGACATGGATGCTGAGGGAGCATGAAAATATGTGGGCATGTACATCCGTGCCCTAGAACACATCAAGAATGCTGGGTAGCTGTATCTGGCTGTGCTAGGGATGCCCCTGAAGAAGCTGGAGATGCAAGATGCATGTCTTTTTTTCCTCCCTCTCCCTATCTCTGCTTCTCTGTGATGCTTCATTCTCTATTTATATCTTTCTCCCTCTGTGTGTATCTTTTTTTTCGTTTCTGTCTCTAATTCTCTGCCCACGTCACCTTCTCTGCTCTCCTCTCTCTCTGTCTCTTTGTTTACTTTGTTCTCTTTCCCTGTCTGTCTCCATCTCCTTCTCATTGTCTGTTAAATATTGTCGATTTTCATTCCCAGCAGTATCTCCCTGTCCCCCACGATCTTACCGTGTTTCTCTCCTATCTCTTCTCTCTCATCAGACGATGATAGTAGTGAAAGACAGAATATGCCTTCTGCTTTCCTTTCTATATCTCCCATCTCCTCCCTTTGTCCCACCTTCCTGTTCTTAATCCTGTCTTTGTCCCTGACCTTGTTTCTTCTGCCTCTGCCTCTGTCTCTGCCTCTTGGTTCTACCTCATCCCTCTCTTTGGGTGCTTTTCTCTGACCCTACCTCTTGGTCTCTCCTTGATCAGCTTGTCAAAGGCCTCAGACCTGGACCACCACTGGGTGGCTAAGGCATGGCTCAATGACATTGGCCTGCCCCAGTACTCCCAGGCCTTCCACAACCACCTCATCGATGGGAGGATGCTCAACTCTCTGATGAAGAGAGACCTGGAGAAACACCTGAATGTGTCCAAAAAGTTCCACCAGGTCAGCATCCTGCTCGGCATCCAGCTCCTCTACCAAGTGAACTTCAGCAAAGAGGTGAGGACAAGGGGATGGGTGAGATGCCTCCCAACCTGGGTTCTGGCCTGGGCCAAGAAAGTGCTGGTTCTGAGTCTATGCTGCCTCTTCAAGGACCTAACCAACTTCTCCATCCCCCTGAGGCTTTCCAGCCTCAGCAAAGTTGGCCCAGCAGAGAGAAAGCCAGGTCTGGATTTATAGGACCCAAGGTTGAATCTTGTCTCTGCCACAAACTACCTGTGTGACCATGAACAGGCCAGTTCTTCTCTCTACAGCCTGTTTCTTCATCTGTAAAATGAGAGGGTTGGACCAGATGGCTTCTAAGGGCCTTTGAAACTCTAGAACTAAGATCCAGTGATCTCTGGGCTAATGGAGGCAGGGCCCAATCAGTGGTAGATGATGATGACAATGATGACAGTGATGATGATGATGATGATGATGATGATGGTGATGATGATGGTGATGATGGTGATGATGGTGATGATGATGGTGATGGTGATGATGGTG